GCTTTCAGCCTCACCCTGCTTCATACTACTACGTTAACAAATCATTAGCTCATCCATGAACATGATTTCTGCCCGAGTCCCGTCGGATTGCATCGGCTGTGGGGATGAAGACCACAACTCCCATGATTCCACACTCAGTCACAGCGTCATCAAACTACGCCTTTGTCTCTTTGTTTGTTTTGAATACGTGCCCTCTAGCGGCGAAAAATTACATACTGTGCCTTTAACAGGAAAAGAAGGCGCTCAAATGTGCGTGTGTGTTCCGCGAGAAATGGTGTGGTCTATTCTAGCGCGTCATACACGTTTGAGCTTCCATGTTCATGTGCATTTGATGTGCACTTTTGTAATGATCACTCATTTATCGTTTACTTTTATCTGCTGTGTTATCGCGTTGCTATGGGTTGAGTCTTGATTCGGACTTGACTGACAGACTGGCGTTCTGACACCGCGAGCTTCATGCTTTCTAACCTTATCTTCACTTTATGTTGCAATTACTCTGCTTATTATACGTATAAAATACAAGAAGTTTATATCAAGTAGTCCTATATAATATATATATACATATACATATATTACTTTTACTCTCTGCACAACTCCGTGTACATTGGATTGATTTTAATGACTTTAATACTTGAAGTGTGCACCAAAAATACATTCGGGAATATACAAGTATCGGATCGGGACTCTGTATCGGCAGATACTCAATATTCAATTACTCAGATCAGATTGGGGGTACAAAAAACCTGATCGGGACATCCCTAATATACAGTATATATATATATATACTGTATATTTGTGTGTGTGTGTGTGTGCTTAATGTGCTTAATGTGATTACCTCCGTTCTGTAGTCAGGTTGTCTGTTGGAAAAGCAAGGTACAAGTTACAGTGGCAGCTTTGTGAAAGAATGGTGCAGCGTAAAGTTATAATTAAAAAAATAATAATTATGAATTTGACCTGTTTTGAGAGTAGCCTGGTGTAACAGAGGAGGCACTTCTGCGCACCCCTGATGGAGGAAGCGAGGGTTTGGGAATTCTTATCGGGTCTTCTGGTGGCTCCACTGCAGGGAGTCTGATAAAAGCAAACGAAATAAAAGCAAATGAAAACATCCCGAAAAATGTATGACAAATTTGATTTAGTTTTTTCTAGATGTACAAGAGAATATCAGTCTTTTTAAATAGTAAATTATACTACTAAATATTGTCATACTAAATGCACATGTGCAGTTATTTCTGTTTTATCTATAAAAGAGGAAATTAAAGGAAACCACTGTACCTTCTTGGCGGTTGGCCAGCCTACAGGAAAAAAAAATATTAGAGAAATACCATTTTACAGAACCATTTAAATGTTTAAAAGTTATTATGGTGTAGTATATACAAAAAAATCTAAATGAAACTTTGAAATTTCATTTATATTTCAAGCATGGAAGTTATTATTATGTTGTATGTTGTAATAATCATAGTAATAATAATCGTAGTAATAACAATATTCATTGTATATTATATATTGTATATTATTCATTGTATATTCATTCAAACAGTCATATAAATATTTATAAAACACACAATATAATATATACTTATATATTGTTATATATAATTATATATTTATTTATTAATATAGTTAATCATGATATATATTAATTTATTCTTAAAAATAATATATACTTAATTAATTAATGTTCAGTAAATGCAATTTTTTAATGTGAAAAAAAAGTCAAACATTACTAAGGCACATAGTGCCGAATTCTACTTCGAGGCAGGACAAAATAAACTTACTCTGTCAAGCGAGCATGTGCCTCTTCCACCTGTGAAGACACAATACAGTTTAAGGTTGTTAAAACATATAACCTGTAATTGCAATACAGTTTAGAATCAAAGCCTTCCCTTCAGACACTGCCTACATTATCTTTATCTTTGACACCAGATCATCTCAAAGCAATCTGAACTGCATTATTTCTCAATTATTATTTGCTAAAAGTGACCTGCTACAGCTGCAGGGTGGCTTCTGTCCAGAGCTCCTGGCTTTGTACTGCGGTCCACGGCAGGTGCTATAAGAGCACAGAACGGTAGAAACAACATATTGAAAAGGTGGATAAGTTCAACAACATCACACCCAGTTTATCTTTCACAAAAAATAGGAATACTTTCCTACCTGGGGATCTTTTTAGGGGCCGCTCTTCTCTCATAGGCAGTCCAACCTATCGATTATAATATAGAGTTTATTGCTAAGAAGTCTCAAAAAATGAAAATCAGAAATGAATAGGGACACATACTGTTTGGAAATATGAAGGACTCACACTTGGCCGCTCCACAGGAGGGAGAGCGGGTCCAGGGCCTGGGCGCTCTGGAGGGACAGGCGGTTGACTTCTGCCCACTCCACGTGTGCGGTTATTATCTGACAAAACAAGGAATCCTATCATTTTTCCAAAAGACTAAGACAACAGTAGGATGGAGGGGTGTCCAGTTCTGCGTACCAATATAATCACTGTTTTCCATGGGTTTTGCGGGACAGATCTGGGCTGTGTCTTCATTAGGCTCGGTTGGTGGAGGCTCATAGCTGTTGTCACTGTCTGACCCCTCCTCTGGGGACTCATAGTCTCCACCGCTAGCTTCACCCTCATCATTCGAATCCGGATTCTCATAGTCATCATCACTCTCCTTAAGGAGGAAAGAACACACGCGCTCTGCCAATCAGATGTGATACTGATCACTTCAAAACAGTTTCAAACACAAATACGAGACTTACAAACTCTTCAGAGTCCCACGCTTGATCCTCATGCTGCTCAACTGAAAATGGTAAGAGCAGACTTCTTCTAGACACTCTTTAAAAGTGTAATTTGTAGCATTGGATATATTGTATTTATATCATACCTGGTGGTTGTGGGTAGCTGGGAACTGGTGATGGCCTGTTACAAAACACTAAGGATAATTAGTTGTCTGCTGAAGAAAAGAAAAGAAAAGAAAAAAAGAGTTCCTCAAAAGACATTCTTCAAAATATCTTCTTTTGTGTTTCTGCAGAAGAAAATACGTTATTTAGGCTTGAGGGCGAGTAAATGATGACAGGATGTTAATATATGGGACAACAAACCTTTAAAAGTTCAACAAGAACATAGATGTGTTGTCTGGGTGACCACATAATAGTAGAGTCATGTAGTATACACTAACATTTAAAAGTTTGGGGTCAGTAGATTAACACTTCTATTGTGCAAGGATGCATTAAATTGATCAAAAATGACCGTTAAGATTTTTATAATGTTACAAGTAAATTTCTGTTTCAAATAAATGCTGTTCTTTTGAACTTTTTATTCATCAAACAATCTTAAAGAAAGGTTTCCACAAAAATATTAAGCAGCACAACCATTTTCAACATTGATAATAATAAGAAATATTTCTTGAGCAGCAAATTGGCATATTAGTATGCTTTCTGAAGGATCATGTGACACTGAAGACTTGAAGTGATGACTGCTAGAAATTCAGCTTTGCCATCACAGGAATAAATTACATTTTAAATGTATTCAAATAGAAAACTACTAAAATTGTAATTTCACAATATTACAGTATTGTTTTTACTGTTTTTGTTCAATAAATGCTGCCTTGGTAAGCATAAGAGACTTCTTTCTAAAACATTTAAAAAATCTTACTGACCCCAAACTTTGAATATTAGTGTACATAATATTTCATATATAACACAAGATTTGTGATGGTAGAGATGTACTGGCCTTATTGTTGGAATCGGTGGAAAGAATCTCCAATTCTTCTCTTTGTTGATTTCCTGACAAATTTTGGAGATAAGCCTAAAAATATTAGAAAACACCCATTTCAAATCCTCAAAGTGTAACTACCATTACTGGCACATTATTGATTAGTAGGCGTTTTAAGAAAAAGAACAGAATGTAATTATTGCTTTATGTACTGGCTGAGGGTTCAGCTCAAGCAGGATGTGGTAACAGAGCCATAATTTTCTGTCCCCGTTTCTGTGCACCCGACAATGCTTAATAAACTAACAACAATCACTTTATCACAAAGTCACTGTCATATCCCTAAAGCCAAATACGCTTTTGGGTAAAAATCAATAGCATCTGCTTATTTAAGTGTTATTGAGGTGTGGGCGTTTTCAACCATTTCACACCAAACATGCTCTGCAAAACAGCTTCTGCATCAACGCAATGGTTCCTGCCACATCTGCTTCTCTGCTTTATCTTTCCTGTGCAGTATTTCCTCTTATTGTCACTATATCATCGATGGTGTTCTTGCACATTTCTACCTGTTTATACACTTTTTACACTGTAAAATAATATGGCAACATGATGAGCTACAGTTGTTTTAAAAAGATTTTAAAGCACAGGAACTGTATTTTTAAAATAAATAAATAAAAAGTATTTGAATACTGTGGATATGATATATTATTCTACACTTTATGGCAAATCAATTCTAAAGTTATTTACGTCTACTTATTTATGTCTAAAGTACTCGTGAGATTTACCCAGTATAGACTAAAAAAAGAATGACAAATACACAGAATAAGCACAGAAAATACAATCGGTACTTACGGCGCATGAAGCTTAGGGAACTTTTGAAGGTCATTGTCAGACATACTCTGAAAAAAATGTATACAGACTGATTTTAAATTCATTGCCTGTACATCATAAGTACACTGCCAAGCCAAAAAAAATCGCCATTTGGAGTTAAATAAGCAAATACTGAAGAGTCTAGGATTGGATCGTTATTGCAGTGATTAATATGTTTCTGGCATGTTGTATGTTTTGCAACAATTCTTTTAACCCTAACTGATGCATAGTATAGCTTTTAATTTCTTAAACAGCCATGTTGGAAGATGCACCCATGCCCATATTCCAGGATGACAATGTCAAGATTCATAGGGCCCAAAAATTGTGAAATAATGTTTCAGTTAGCATGAGGAACAATTTTAACGTATGAATTTCATTGTCCTGAATGAATTGCTTTTTTTAATTTAGCTTAAAGCCCCGTTCACACTAAGAACGATAACGTTAACGTATAAAGATAACGATAAATATATAGTTCTAAAAATCGTTCTCAATATTAAAGAATAGCAGAGTCCACACCACACCTACAACGATAAAGACAAAGAGAAATTATATCGTTGGAATCACTTTCAAAACGATTTTTTTCCAGCTGATGAACGATAAAAAATTGACAGCCAATCAGAATCCATCCTGCTGTAACGAGCTCAAGAATTTAAAGCGGCAGACGCATGTAAGCTTAATAAACAGACGATATCGTTCGCTGGTGTGGACGCTAATATCGTTATATTTTTATAGTTATCGTTCTTGGTGTGAACGGGGCTTAACCCTTTTAAAAGTCTTAAGGATGTGCTGGAGTCGACTTTACAGAGTGGTTTGACTCTCCCATTGTCGATACAAGATCTCGGCCAAAAATGAATGCAACTCTTGATGGAAATAAATGTTTTGACGTTGCATAACATTGTTGAAACAATGCCGGAACGAATGCACAGTGTCATCAAAACTAAAGGCTGTCCAATGAAATATTCGAATGTGCAACTTTTGTTTTTGTTTTGTTTTTGTTTTTGGACAGGCAGTGTAAAGTCTACTCCAGCACATCCCAAAGACATTCAATGGGGTTTAGGTCAGGACTCTGTGATGTCCAATCTTTCACAGTTTGAGCCTGATGAATCTTGTCATTGTCATCCTGGACTATGTACATGGGTATGTCTTCCGACATGGTTGTTTGAGAAATAAAATGCTATGCACTGCATCAGATAGGGTTAGGGTTAAAAACATATTAATCACTGCAATAATGATTCAGTCCTTCAAAATCACTTGAAGGATCAGTTGAACATTCATATAAACACACAAACACATTTAGAACCTTTACTTTTTTCTTGATTTCTGACTGATTAGGAGTTGGTAGTTTAGAAATAGAAGTTAGGAGAATTAGGAGTTCTTGGTAGTTTTGAGAAGTTAGTAGTTTACGGTTAGTTTCTAATAACAGTGCTTCCTGAAATGCAGGATCAAGGAAAACAATGATACCACATTGAGTCAGACCACAGATATCTGTTTTGTAAAGGGACATTTTTGTCTGCGCTCCACAATGAATATGAATGTTTAACAAAATGTAATTAAAAGCTAAATATTTGTACAAATGTAAACGTTCTTAAAATCAAACACATTTTATTCAGATTACCACCAAATGCATAGGGCCAAAAATAGGCCTATACTAAATTATGACATTAATTATGACAAAATGATGACATGCTGAAAATGGTCAATTCTGGTTTCTAAATGCCTCTTGAATTTTTATGTACCCTCCCCCTTTCCTGTCTGTCTGTGATCAGAACAGACCTGTGACCCACCAAAACTGCTGGACTCAAATTTTAAAGGGGTACATACCAGGAACCTTTGGCCATTGATGTTACACCGTGTCACGACCTTATCACACCCAGTTAGATTCCTCTAAAGATAATGAAAAAGAAAGTATGTCAGTTGAATATACAGGCTCACAGACATAACCATATCTCCTACATAAACAACATAATGTAATATTAAATAACATTAAATATCAAACATAGGTCTGTAGAAGTACATTCAGTAATGCTACTTCATAACAAATATTTCTCATTTATCAGTTCTAAACAGTATCAGATTCGTAACTATATGTGCTAAACATCTATAAAAGAACCATTTTAATAATACATGGATTACAACAGATATGTTTTCAATTTCACTATATATTTTACATTGAAAGATGGAAAGAGAAAGCAACTTACTTTCTTCAGAAAGTCTGCTAACCGTTGCGAATCCCAGCTCAAAACCTCCGATTTGGATGGAATACTATCAGAACTCATTATTCCAAACGCACTACACTTACTTATGAATATCAAATCCCAGATACCGTCAAGCATTGAAAAAAATGTTGCCACTCTCACATTGAGTTCACACTGTGCCTGACACTTTGTATACTGAGAACACGAGGAGACTGGTGTCAAATCAAAAAAAAGAAAAAAAAAAGAAATCAAATCAAAAGAGATAATACTTTAGTGACAGAATCACCCAGTTTCAAACGTAGAAGCGGGAGAATTGCTCAAAATTCTACCATTTTCAAAAATAACTAAAAAGCCCAACACCCCGGGAATGCCTGAGCACAGTATAAAAAGAAAGAATGACATCCACTTCCCCATAGACTTCCCGATAACTATAAAGATAACGATAAAGATATAGTTCTAAAAATCGTTCTCAATATTAAAGAATAGCAGAGTCCACACCACACCTACAACGATAAAGACAAAGAGAAATTATATCGTTGGAATCACTTTCAAAACGATTTTTTTCCAGCTGATGAACGACAAAAAATTGACAGCCAATCAGAATCCATCCTGCTGTAACGAGCTCAAGAATTTAAAGCGGCAGACGCATGTAAGCTTAATAAACAGACGATATCGTTCGCTGGTGTGGACGCTAATATCGTTATATTTTTATAGTTATCGTTCTTGGTGTGAACGGGGCTTAACCCTTTTAAAAGTCTTAAGGATGTGCTGGAGTCGACTTTACAGAGTGGTTTGACTCTCCCATTGTCGATACAAGATCTCGGCCAAAAATGAATGCAACTCTTGATGGAAATAAATGTTTTGACGTTGCATAACATTGTTGAAACAATGCCGGAACGAATGCACAGTGTCATCAAAACTAAAGGCTGTCCAATGAAATATTCGAATGTGCAACTTTTGTTTTTGTTTTGTTTTTGTTTTTGGACAGGCAGTGTAAAGTCTACTCCAGCACATCCCAAAGACATTCAATGGGGTTTAGGTCAGGACTCTGTGATGTCCAATCTTTCACAGTTTGAGCCTGATGAATCTTGTCATTGTCATCCTGGACTATGTACATGGGTATGTCTTCCGACATGGTTGTTTGAGAAATAAAATGCTATGCACTGCATCAGATAGGGTTAGGGTTAAAAACATATTAATCACTGCAATAATGATTCAGTCCTTCAAAATCACTTGAAGGATCAGTTGAACATTCATATAAACACACAAACACATTTAGAACCTTTACTTTTTTCTTGATTTCTGACTGATTAGGAGTTGGTAGTTTAGAAATAGAAGTTAGGAGAATTAGGAGTTCTTGGTAGTTTTGAGAAGTTAGTAGTTTACGGTTAGTTTCTAATAACAGTGCTTCCTGAAATGCAGGATCAAGGAAAACAATGATACCACATTGAGTCAGACCACAGATATCTGTTTTGTAAAGGGACATTTTTGTCTGCGCTCCACAATGAATATGAATGTTTAACAAAATGTAATTAAAAGCTAAATATTTGTACAAATGTAAACGTTCTTAAAATCAAACACATTTTATTCAGATTACCACCAAATGCATAGGGCCAAAAATAGGCCTATACTAAATTATGACATTAATTATGACAAAATGATGACATGCTGAAAATGGTCAATTCTGGTTTCTAAATGCCTCTTGAATTTTTATGTACCCTCCCCCTTTCCTGTCTGTCTGTGATCAGAACAGACCTGTGACCCACCAAAACTGCTGGACTCAAATTTTAAAGGGGTACATACCAGGAACCTTTGGCCATTGATGTTACACCGTGTCACGACCTTATCACACCCAGTTAGATTCCTCTAAAGATAATGAAAAAGAAAGTATGTCAGTTGAATATACAGGCTCACAGACATAACCATATCTCCTACATAAACAACATAATGTAATATTAAATAACATTAAATATCAAACATAGGTCTGTAGAAGTACATTCAGTAATGCTACTTCATAACAAATATTTCTCATTTATCAGTTCTAAACAGTATCAGATTCGTAACTATATGTGCTAAACATCTATAAAAGAACCATTTTAATAATACATGGATTACAACAGATATGTTTTCAATTTCACTATATATTTTACATTGAAAGATGGAAAGAGAAAGCAACTTACTTTCTTCAGAAAGTCTGCTAACCGTTGCGAATCCCAGCTCAAAACCTCCGATTTGGATGGAATACTATCAGAACTCATTATTCCAAACGCACTACACTTACTTATGAATATCAAATCCCAGATACCGTCAAGCATTGAAAAAAATGTTGCCACTCTCACATTTTCACACTGTGCCTGACACTTTGTATACTGAGAACACGAGGAGACTGGTGTCAAATCAAAAAAAAGAAGAAAAAAAAGAAATCAAATCAAAAGAGATAATACTTTAGTGACAGAATCACCCAGTTTCAAATGTAGAAGCGGGAGAATTGCTCAAAATTCTACCATTTTCAAAAATAACTAAAAAGCCCAACACCCCGGGAATGCCTGAGCACAGTATAAAAAGAAAGAATGACATCCACTTCCCCATAGACTTCCTGTTAATGATTATTGTGACAAACAGGGGAAGTACAGCCCCTTCATGAAAAAAAGAAGTTATTTCTTAACTTATTATAATTCATCTTCGACCCCTCAGACAGATATAGACTATAAGCACTGGACATTATGAACTACTGGACTCAAGCTTATGTTCATTTTAGTATTTGGTAAGATCCTGGACACACAATGCAAGTTTAAAACTCCATTATTATGTTTTAATTATTTGCCTCATTATCTACATCTTGCCAGTTCCACGTCATGTGATTCTTAAATTGTGGTTTTGAATTTTGATAAACACAAGCAATGGGCTATCATGAAGGCTTTCTTTGGGAAAATAATTTATAAAATAACATTTAGACGTTTACAACATAAATCATATGAATATATACGCATATACCAAAGCTGTAATTTTATTACAGCCATTTTTTAGTTTTATCTTTTAGTTCAGAGCTTTATTTGCAAGTAGTTGATGCTTTCCAGGTTATATATTTTGCTTATTTAAATATAGATTTAACATTTGAATTTAACATTTAAAGACGTAAGAGCTATTTTTATCACTTTTATTTAACTTCATTTTAACTGTTTTCTTAAAGTAAACTTGGTTAAATTGTACAATTTTTTTTCTGTATTTTAAAACTAGCACCCAAATGATAGTATTATGGGAATTATGCAGTTATTTACCATCTAAGAACCACATTTGCAAAAGAAACTAATCAAAAGTCAGATTGTGTGAATGATTGTGGATCGTGACCTGCAACACGGGTGGCTGGTTCAGTCCCAGAACTGTTCGCATTTAACACCCACAACTGGAAACTATGAGTTTCAAGCTTTCAGTTGCTCCTGTTGTAGGGGTTAGTTCGTGGAAATATCTCGGTTAATGTGCCTGCATCACTGAACATCCACTTTGATGTAGCTGTAAAGTGTATTTGATTCGCAAAGCTGTAAACGGATGTTCAGATATTATTATCATATTACATTTAATTGATGTCATACACCAAAATACAATTCCCCTGCCTTGTCAGTTATTTCCATTTCCTGGCTGCTTACAAAGTAGAAGGTGGTTCAGTGGGTGTATTAAAATCTGTTTTGAGGGCAAAGTCAGCGGTTTTGATTCAGGGTAATGTCATCCAGTTGTTTATATGTCAATAATGTTTTAAGGAGCTCCCACACTGAATTCTGTTGTAACATTACTTGGTCTTTATTTTAGTGGAAACTATCGTTAGGCTACACACGCTAGACACACTAAAACCCCTCTTTTCTTCTTTATTGCTCATTTTAAATGCAATCACTTGAGCATTTTGTCACTGATGCTTAGGATTGTTTATTACTCTCAATGGCTACACGTTTGTTTCTGGAGATCACAACCCTATCATTGATGCTCAATTTTTCCTCACTTTTGATACAACAGACACATTATATTTCCTCTTTATCTATGCACAATGGAAATAGCATTTGTAGGCTAATGAAAGGACAGAACCCTCTGGCACCCGTGTGTCTGTCAGTGTGTACAGCTGAGCCACTTCCCTTTACAAATGAACATTTTGGCTGGTCTTTTTGTTGGAATGTTTATGTTGTGAATTGAAATTTTTAATCGACAAGGTCTATGCGGAATTATTTAGAATTGTAGGTGCTGACTTTTGATTTATTTCATTGTGTTGATTATTTTGCCGGATGTACATTTTCATTTGCCATAGTAAATTTATGGGAGCCAATAGCACCACCAGGTGGTGATGTACTATATAAATCAATAGCAGCTAAAGCTTTTCCATTACTTTAGTTTTGGTAATTAGTCAAGTTAGAAATGCTTAATTATTGAATTAAGTTGTCATTATATGTGATGTGTGCTTATGTAAAGTAAATAAAACTTCTGTAACATGTCATAAAAAAACTAATAAATCCATATTGTAAGTTTCTATTTACATACACACATGCACAAAGTAATCTTTAGTTCTTTATTATGGCCATAGTTAGTATTGTATTGTACTTTAATACACTGGAAAACTTAGTCAATGTTTTAATGTAAAATAACCACAAATTACAATCTATCAGTCTCCTTATAATAATAATAATAATAAAAAAAAAGCTCTATAATTATAACTTTAACAGGTTTTCCATTTCTTGTCAGCCCCACATCCACAGAGACGCTGGGGAATAGAAGCATCAAGTCTTGAGGTTATATTGTTTTAATTTGAACCTTTTCGGTTTAATTGTTTGGAAGGTATAAGATGGTAACTTCAGACACAACTCATAAAACATTTATGCATATGCAGCCCTATTTACACTTTATAACAAAAACTTCCTTCATAACAAGGAGCTCAATTTAGATTGACAGAGTTATGCTGATGTTCTATAATCAAGGGCCAAGAACAGGTTACCCACCACATGTGTTGAATCAGGTGTTTAACAGAATGCGCGATAAAAAGCTGTGTGGTCCTGTAAAGCAATAATGAAAAAATTTTCATACAGTTCAGGGATACCTATTCACAGAAGGCCTTGGTGAGCAAACTTTTAAAATGAGTGATCAGTGGCCTTTTTTGGAGGATCCAAAACCTGAGAATCCCATCACAGCAGCCATTTCATCATCATCTTCAAAGTTGAGATCTTCTTCTGCCTTTCTTTTCTTTTCCTTTTGCTTTTCTTTTCTGTAGGCTTTCGCTTTCTCCTCCTTAACAACAGAATGAAAAAATTAGGATAGGTTATGAACTCTTGAGTATTGATATGCTCTTGCCAGAACAAAGGAAAATTCTTCAAGGGATAGTTCACCCAAAAATGATCATTTGCTGCTTACACAACCTCAGGACATCCAAAATGTAGGTGAATTTTTTCTTCAATAGAATAGTAAAGATGATTTTTAGCTGAAACCATGGTCCTTGGTGATTCATAAATACAAGTCAGAGACTACCAGCACTTAAGAGTTAAACAACAAAAAAAAGCATATACAGTTATGGTCAATTTTAAATACACTAATGAAAAAATTTTCATACAGTTCAGGGATACCTATTCACAGAAGGCCTTGGTGAGCAAACTTTTAAAATGAGTGATCAGTGGCCTTTTTTGGAGGATCCAAAACCTGAGAATCCCATCACAGCAGCCATTTCATCATCATCTTCAAAGTTGAGATCTTCTTCTGCCTTTCTTTTCTTTTCCTTTTGCTTTTCTTTTCTGTAGGCTTTCGCTTTCTCCTCCTTAACAACAGAATGAAAAAATTAGGATAGGTTATGAACTCTTGAGTATTGATATGCTCTTGCCAGAACAAAGGAAAATTCTTCAAGGGATAGTTCACCCAAAAATGATCATTTGCTGCTTACACAACCTCAGGACATCCAAAATGTAGGTGAATTTTTTCTTCAATAGAATAGTAAAGATGATTTTTAGCTGAAACCATGGTCCTTGGTGATTCATAAATACAAGTCAGAGACTACCAGCACTTAAGAGTTAAACAAAAAAAAAAGCATATACAGTTATGGTCAAAATTTTAAATACATTTTGGAGTATCTGCAAAATTTTAATTATTTTACCAAAATTAGAGGGATACAAAATGTGTTTATTCTGACCTGAATAAGATATACAGGCAAGACAAAATTAATACCCGTAGGTTAGTGCTGGGCGGTATGACCAAAAATGTATATCACGGTATTTTTCAAAATTATACCGGTTTCACGGTACATGACAGTATTTTT